TAAATATTCTAATCTAAATAATATAAATATTCTAATCTAAATAATATAAATATTCTAATCTAAATAATATAAATATTCTAAATAATCTGGAAAGGGGCAAAGGCTCTTGTACACCAAAGAAAAGCTGAGGAATGGTGGGATCTGCCCCAGCACCTTGAGCCCAGGAGGTTTCCCAGAGCCTGGTGGTGCTCAGGGGGTGAGCAGGGCAGCCCTGGCAGCCTCGGGCACAGAGAACTCTGCAAAGTGTGTGGAAAAAAAAGGGGAGGCTGAACAGAAACCCCTCGCTCAGCACTTCGGGCCCGTTTGTTTCTCCCTCCCCTCTGCTTTGAGGAGCTCTGAGGACTCCACCAGCTCTGCCAAAGGAGATCCTTCCCCTGCCCAACCCACTCTTCCTCCAGCCCTTATCTGCCCTCACCTGTCTCCACCGGGTCGCTTTAAAAGTCCCAGACGCTTCCTTCCTTTGTTTGCCTTGGCCCCAAAGGGAAACGTCTTGTGTGTCAAAGGTTTGGTGCAGGTTCCTGTCCCAGCTCTTTGCCACCCCCCGGCCTCAGCAAATCGAACTTCTTCTCCCAGCTGGGGGTTTGCACGGGGGACTCAGGCTCTCTGCCCCTCCTGCCTCCACCTGGGATCGAGGTGGAGCATCAAAACCGGGGGTTAAATCCCTCCTGGCTCCTGCAAATTGGGGATGGAAAAGAAGTTCTGGGGTTTGAGTGAATTCACCCAGAGACAGAGTCTCTCCGGGGCTGTGCCACTGTCCCAGCTCTCCTTTCTCTGGAGGTAAAATCATCTGGGCTTAGAGACCCAAAGTAGGGCAGAGGGGTTCCAGCCAGAGGCACGGCCTTGGTGAGCTTTGCCTGGGCTGAGCTGAGGACTCTGAGGAAGAATTTCCTCCTGGAAAGGGTGGTCAGGCTCTGAAAGGGGCTCCCCAGGGGGGTTTGGAGTCCCCAGCCCTGGAGGTGTCCAGGGAAGAACTGGATGTGGCACTCAGTGCTCTGGGCTGGGGGACAAGGTGGGCATCAGGCACAGGGTGGGCTCGGTGATCCCGGAGAGCTTTTCCAGGAGAAAAAGCCCTTTCTCCAGGGCCCACAGAGGGAGCAGGGCAGCTCCTGTCACCCTGGCAGAGTGAGGAGTGTGCTGAGCCCAGGATGTGTCCCACAGAGTCTTCCCTTTCCCTCCCAGCCCCGTGTTTTTCCTGAGGAGCAGAACCAGGGTGAGGAGGAGGAGAACAGGGTGAGGAGGAGAAGGAGGGTGAGGGGCAAAACCAGGGTGAGGAGCAGAACAGGGTGAGGAGGAGAAGGAGGGTGAGGGGCAAAACCAGGGTGAGGAGCAGAACAGGGGGAGGAGGAGGAGAACAGGGTGAGGAGGAGAAGGAGGGTGAGGGGCAAAACCAGGGTGACGAGGAGAACAGGGCGAGGAGGAGAACAGGGTGAGGAGGAGCAGAACCAGGGTGAGGAACAGCACCAGGGCTGAGCAGTTCAGCAGCCCCAGGTGCATCCCCGGGGCGGATTTTGGGGCTCAGGAAGGGCTGGGCCCACCCGCCACAAGCCGAGCAAGCGGGCAGCACTTCGGTTGGGAGCACCTTGATGTGAGAGCTGAGCTCCCCCCTCTCCTCCTCCTCCTCCTCCTCCTCCTCGAGGTCGCGGGAGCAGCACCTGCCTGCGGGGGGAGAACCCGGTGCCAGCAGCTGCCAAAACCACAGCCCGGGCGATGCCCCCCCCCCCGCTCTCCCTCGCTGTGCTGCATCAAAAAACAAACCCACCCGGGGCTGTTCTCACCCCAAACTCCCCCGGGGCAAACAGGAAGCCACGAGCACAAAGCGGGGGAAGAGCGAGAGAGCCCGGGGTGAGCCCAGGAACGTCCCCCCCCCCCCCGGCAACACCTGCAGGGAGAGGGGGTTGGCAGGTAAACACGAGGGTTCACCTGGGCAGGGGATGCCCCTGGCACGGGGATCCGAGGCGGGGGGTTGCCCTCCCCGAGCTCTGTGCCCACGTTAAACGGCGGTTTCAGGTGCAGCTGCCGGAGTTTAACGTTGGAGCCGGGGAGGAAAAGGGGAGGAAAAGGGGTTGGAGGTGTCGTGGTTTGGACCAGGCTCCACAAAAAGCCCCCTTCCCTTTATTAAAGGAAAGGGAAAAAAGGGGAAAAAAAAAATACCCCAAAGGACCTGATATAAACTGAACTAAAGCAATATATATATATATATATATTTTTATGATTATTTACAGTTACAAACCCACTATATAGGAATGAGAAAAGAGAACCCCGACCCCCCAAAAAAACCAAAAAAAAACCAAATTTCCCCAACCAAAAAAAAACTAACAAAGCAAAATTTTAATGCTTTCCTCAAGAAGACGACAGCCACTCCACCAGATCTCTCCACTCGGATCAGGAACCTTCCCTTCCCTTCCCTTCCCTTCCCTTCCCAAACCTTCCCTTCCCTTCCCAAACCTTCCCTTCCCTTCCCAAACCTTCCCAAACCTTCCCTTCCCACACCTTCCCACATGCATATGTGTTTTCAGAGTATTTCACAGCTCCAAGCTTCTCATTCCCAAAATTCCCAGCCCCGGATCTTCCTGGGTCCTGCCCGTTGGGGACATTTCGTGGCAATCTGGGTCTGGCCCAAAGGCACGGCAGGAGGTTGTGTGATGGCATCCCAACATCCTAGAGCCATTCCTGCACATCTCCCTGCAGGATCCACCCTGGAGAATCCACCCTGGAGACATTCCTGCCCCTGGGGCACTCCCTGCCAAGGGCCCACCCCGGGACAAGGCTTCCAAAAGGGGTTGGGAAATTTTTCTCGTGCCGTTTTCCTGCGAGTTTTGAAGTCAGGCCCTCCCTGTCCCGACATCTCATCCCTCCTCTTCGCAGCTGCTTCTCATTTCTTCTCATTTCCCAGCCGTGGCCTTCCTGTTTTGTTGGATTCGTATTTTTTTTTCAATCATTTTGGGTTTTTTTTGTGTTTTTTTTTTTTTTTGGGGGGGGGCTGCATTCAGCAGCTGCACACGATTCTCCCCCGAGCCCATCACTATGTTTAGCCCTCCAGACAGGCCAAACAAACGAGCAGGGCTGGGGTTAACAATCCCAAAATGGAGCTCAGCTGTCTCTGAACTGTGATTTACTGGGACCGGGGCCAGGCAAGATCCTCCTCAGGAATCGCCCACCGGGGACCGGCCTCTTCAAAAGGGGAGAAATCGTTTAAAATACCTTTTCCTGGCTCAGACTGGGGATGGGAGATGCTTCTGCTGGGGGGTGAGGCCTCCAGGGAGGTGCTGGAGGGGCACTGTGGGTGTGGGTGATGCCTCCTCCACCCCTAAACCGGGATTAGGGGCGGGTTTAACCCTCCCGTGCCCCTCCCTGGGGCTGCTGGGGGGGCTCCCCTGCCGGGGCTGGGAGGAGGCCACGGTGCCACAGACGTGGCATTGCCACCTTTCCCCTGGGCACGGGGCACCAGCACCTCAGAAAGGACCCTCAGAGAGGTGAAGGAGCCTCAGAAAGATGCAGGTCCCTCAGGAAGGTGAAGGAACAAACCTGCTCCTCTCCTGCCTCCTGTGGGGAGCTGTGGCTGCAGGCAGCTCTCCCTCTCTGCAGGCAGCTCTCCTTCCCTGCCTGCAGCTCTCCCTCTCTGCAGGCAGCTCTCCATCCCTGCCTGCAGCCCTCCCTCCCTGCCTGCAGCCCTCCCTCCCTGCCTGCAGCTCTCCATCCCTGCCTGCAGCTCTCCCTCCCTGCAGGCAGCTCTCCCTCCCTGCCTGCAGCTCTCCCTCCCTGCCTGCAGCTCTCCCTCCCTGCCTTGGGCATCTCCTGCTGGCCCTGAAGGTCCGCTCGGTGCCCAAGGGCAGCTCTGGCAGTGCCCCTTCGGGCAGGGAGGGGGTCTGGGGTGATGTGAGAGTGGGACTGTGTCACTGGAAGCACGGGCAGGGCCCTTGGAGGCACGGGCAGGGTTGGTGGGATGTGTCTGACCCGGCTCAAGACCCAGCTTTGACTGGAATTGCTGAGCTCCTGAAGGACCTCGTTCAACACTGGGCACCTGCCAAGCTTGTTATCCAAAGGTTTCCCAAATCCCACCCGCCCCCTTGGCACCAAACACCGCCTCAGACCCGCCCCAGCCTCGTTATTCCCGGGAACAGCAGCCCTGGAGTTCCCACAGGATGAACGGGACTCTGCTCGTCCCAGAAATGGTTTGGCTGGGAAGGGACCCCAAAGCTCTTCTGCACATTTTGTTTTTCAGGCACCTGCAGCTCCTCGGACACGTTGGATGCTCAGCATCCAAAAAAACCACATATTTTGGTCGCTCTTTGCTGTGTTTAATCCAAAAGCCTCTGGCCGAGTGAAAAGGGGGGAAAAAAACGGGGAAGAAGACAAAGAATGTTTTTGGGAAAAAAAAAACCACGAGATATAATAAGTGGTAAATCCCCAAGGTATAAAATCAGATCAAATTTTATGGAGTTCCAAATCTGAGTGGCCAAATGGTGACAGTTCCACCCCCTGTCTTGGCTTTCCCAAGGGTCTTTCCAGCCAAAAATTAAGGGAAACACTCCCTCAGAGAGCCGGGAGGCCCAAAATCCTCCTCTGGCTTATCCAGCCCTTGGGCTGTCCCGCAGGGAAATGCCCAGTTTGCCTCTGCCCTCGGGTGTCTCCGATGGAGATTTGGGACAGATCCACCTCCCACAACTCCAGGAACCTCCTGAGATCCACCCCCAAACCCCCTCCCAGAGCCTGAGCTGCCACAGGACAGAACCCTTTGGGTTCTCTGGTTGGTACAACAGGAGCTTTCCTGGTCCCTTCACCTTTGGAACACAAAGATTTTTTTTTTTTAATCTCTCCCTCCTGGGAGGCTTTGGGTCTGTCCTCCTAATTAGCCAGGGTTGCCTCACTTCCTCAGACATGGAAATGTCTCTTTGTTGAGCAGGGCAGGGGCTCTTTTCTCCCCCTGCCCTTTGAACGGCTCCACTTTTGGCGATTCCTGCCCGTTCCTGCCCGTCCTTCCACCTCACGTGCAAATAATCCAAATAATCCCAACATCCAAGTAGGGAAAAGTTTGTGGCTCCTCATCCAGACCCGGCTCAGCCCCTGGAGCAGGAGAGTGACCCCGTCCCGGGCACTCAGCTCCTCCTGCCTGGTTGCCAAGCTCCCTCCTGGACACACCAGCTCAGGCTCTGGGAGGGGGTTTGGGGGTGGATCTCAGGAGGTTCCTGGAGATGTGGGAGGTGGATCTGTCCCAAATCTCCATCGGAGACACCCGAGGGCAGAGGCAAACTGGGCATTTCCCTGCGGGACAGCCCAAGGGCTGGATAAGCCAGAGGAGGATTTTGGGCCTCCCGGCTCTCTGAGGGAGCTTTTCCCTCTTCCAGTTGTTGGCTGGAAGGACCCTTGGGAAAGCCGAGGCAGGGGGTGGAACTGTCACCATTTGCCATCGCCTTTCCCCTCGGGATCTTTCCCCGGGATCTTTATTTCCCCCCCTTTTTTTTTCCCTGTTTCAGGATATCAGGTTCTCTTCTCTGAGAACAGAGGCAGAAAAATCCCAAGAACAGGGTGTTTGTGG